CAACACAGAGCCTCCTGGGAATGGCAGTTTTGTAAAATACTCAGAGGATACCCAGTGTGGTGTAGTAGTGGGTAGCGAGATGGACTAGGACTCAGAAGGCCTGGGTTCGAATCTCTGCTCAGTCATAAGGACTCACTGGGGGGGGGCTGGAACTGGTAAAGCCTCTCCTTAAATATCTCATGCACCTTGAAAATCCTACAGGGTCGGTTCCGACTTGAGGGCACAGACAGAAGAACAACAACACGACACTCAGAATTCCGGGAGGCATCTTGCAAGTCTCGAGCCCTTAGGAAGCTCCCGAACTGCTTGCTGTGTTCCCTTCTGCTGAACGGAATCCTTAAGACCGAGGACGTGATCCGAGGAGTAGTTTTACTCATTAAATTCTGCTCAAGTGACTAAGGTCAAGAGGGATGACTCTGAAGATAAAACGGCCGCGCTGTATTCCTCTCCAGGCTTTCTCTCCGCAAGTCCTGCAAGGGGAGGTGTGTAAGGGGTACGTCCCGGCGTTTAGACCTGTCAAAGATCCCAGGATACGAAAGGGCCCGGGGTGGGAGGGGGAAACCCTATCAAGGAACGAAGGAGAGGGTTCCAGAGCTTCACGACGGTGTCTTTCGGGTGAAGGGGAAACGCGGCGCCTTGGCCATCTGACCCCAGGCAGGAGGTTGGGTTGGGGGGAGTAAGAAACACGGCAGACTCTGTCTCCGGAGGGGTGGCGGCGGCGGGTAGATAGTCCACCCGATTCCTTCGATCTACTAAAAGAGCAATCCCATGCCTCTTTACTTCCCGAAGACTTACTCCCGAGGTGAGGCTGCCTCGGTGTGCGTGTGAGAGAGGCAACTGCAGCCAGGCTGAGTGTACTACTTCTGTTGTGCTTCGGACGCTTCTGTGATGAATGTCGATCCTTTTTTTTAAAGCGGGGCGGGGGAGAGCGATCCCACAGGGTTCCTAACTTAGGGCGCAACACAGAACTATCACACGCGCGTCCTCGGGTCCACAAAAGGGGGCGCCCTTCGACCTTCAGAGGGCTGTTCTCACGTTTTGTCCGGGAGGGTTCTCTACTGCCTCTCCTGCGTTATGGTCACTCGTATTCGAAGTTAGGAGTCCGTTTCGTGCAACGAGCGCACCAAAGCCCACGGATTCCCTCCCATACGCGAGAAGGAGAGGGAGAGAGAGTGGGAGAGAGTGAAGGTGGGGGTGAGGAAGTTTCATTTTATCCAGAAAATAATTAAAATCTCATGCATTTTTATTGGTTTGAGTATCCAGCAGAGTGGAAATATTGAAACTTCAAGACCCCTTGTATTAAAAAGTCACAACTGTTCAATTTTATGAGTTCTGACTGTGTGAAAAAACGGACGGGGACAGCTTTAGTGGGAGAAGGGAAAAAAGCGTTGGACGTTGGGGCCCCGAATGGCTATAAAAAAAATAATACAATCGCCTATAAAACCGACGAGAGTGATATTAAAAATTATGGAGCTCCATAAAGGCGACATTTCGTGGAGGGTTGGAGTTCAGAGTTCG